AGACCGCGCAGCGAACTGGCCGTGGGCATGCACTCTGGAGCCACACGTCCTGGGTCCATATCTTGCGCCGTCTCGGGCAGGCTCTGTGCCTTTGGCCACCTTACCCCGCTTCTCTGTGCCTTGGCTGCCCCACCTGCAAAATGGGGATTATAGTAGCACCTATTCCCCAGGGTCCCCAGAGCAGTCCTGAGTGCTAGCTGGCGCCTGCCCCTGCCCCTCTGCCCCTGGAGGCCAGGGGCCAGGGAGGACACAGGGGTGAGGAGGGAAGTCTCTCAGAGAGACTCACCTCCTCCAAGTGTGGTAAGGGCCAAGGGGCTGGGGGCTGAAGACAGAGTGGGTCCCACCCACACTGACCCCCTCCCCACCCTAACCCTGTGCAGGGTGCCCACCCTCTGAGTCACCCACTAACGTGGGCTGACGAGTCTTACTGCAGGCCGAGGTGCGGTTGGGATGCAAAGTCCCCAAAGTGACCTAAGTCATGACCTCATCCAATGTGAAGCCTTAGACAAAGTTCAGGTCAAAGGGCAGAGGCTTCCCAGAGCTTGGAGAGCTCGACCCGAGGACCAAGGTCCGGCCGGCTGTCCAACTCTGTGCAGAGATGGAGGCCTGGGCTGGAGGTCCCCCAGGGCTCCCGCCTGGAGGGACTCAATTCCATTCCGATCAGTGTAAGTAACCTTGGCCAACGCCCAGCCTGGCCAGCGCTGGGGAGATGAGACACTGTCCCTCTCTGTGAGGGGCTGACATCTGGAGCGGAGTCAGGCACGACCCAGATGGTGACCATACCCAGATAGTGACCGTGAGGCAGAGTCTGCAGGGAGCACGGCTGCCACCCGCCCACCGCTCGCTGCTCTGCCGGTGCTCAGGGACGTGCCAGGCAACCCCACCCGTCTCCCCGCCTGGGCCCTTGGGCGCCACGCTATGGGGAGAATGCCTCGGTCCCCTGGGCTATGTTTTGTTAGAGGGTCCCAGGGCAGAGTGTCTGGGACCCTCGTTGACATGGTTCTGACGGCTTTCAGTCCTCAAGGGCCGCTCCCCTCTTCTGGAACCTTCTCGCCCTGCTGTGTTGTGTGCCAAGAGTCACATGGGCTGACCCAGCCCGCGCACTGAAAGGTTCGTGGAGCTCCTTCCCTGCGGTATAGTGTGTTACATGGGGAAGGCGTTCTCACGAGCGAGTGAGGCCTGTTCTCATCAGGTTCAGTATCACCCGCTCCAGTTCCTGAATGAGGTTCTAGGGTGTTCCTCCAAGCTTGGGCACTTACTGCAGAGCTCCCCTGCTCCCCCTGGGCCAGTCTGAATCCCACCTGCTAAGGAATGGAGCTTCTTGCAGGATCCTTAGTCTGGCTTGTCCCTCATTCCCAATGAGAGCTATTTTCTGGGGAGCCACACGGGACCGGATGTGGAAGGTGTCAGGCCATCCTGCAGAATCCTTTCTGAGGCTCCCTGGGGACACCTCTTTCCCCTTAGTAGTGAGAAGTCAGGCTGCTTTGGAGTAATGGCTTCTTCCTACAACACGGACATCACGTTTCCATCTTTGCCTTGGCTACCAGGAAGCTGGGAGCCAAATTTACGGGCATGCGCTAAATAATAGCATCTCGTGACAAGAATTTGTATATTAGCTCCACCTCTGGCTTCCCATTATTTTTCTATCACTCTTTTTTGCTTTAATTGATTTCTCTTCCTTCCTTTTTATCTTGTTCTTGTTTGTAAAAGGCCTTAAGTACCAACGGTGGGGGGTAAGGGGGAGTAAATATAAATGAATGAATAATAAGTAGGAAGAGCCTCCACCTTCCTTGAAGCAGCACCTGGGAGCATCCTAGGCCTCCGAGGACGTTCACCCACGGTGGGGGGGAGGGGGAGACTCAGATCCAGCGGGAGGGGCTCCTGCAGCAGGTGGGGAAGCCACTGAAGGTGCCCTGGTTCGCACCCAGAGGCAGGATGGAGTCAGAGCAGCAGGGGGCGCTGCTCCCTCCGTCTCCCCGGCAGCTGCAGGAACATCTGGAAACAGATTCCCTTTTCACCGACAGAGCACTCTGGGCCTGGGGCCAGCCATGCTCATTGCAGCCTCTGTGAGAAGGGCCTGCCTATTTCAGGCAAAAACAAAGGCAACCCCAGGGACTGCACCCCAGTTTCAGAGGGGAGAAGGGAAGCCACGGATGGGTCCTTTCACTTTGGGCCTCAGTTTCCCCATCTGTACAAGGGGAATAAATATCCCCTTTGCAAGACGGTTGTAAAGGTCAAATCAGGTGACCGTTGGGGGCAGTGTGGTCTTGAGGGAAGGGCATGGACTGAGTCCCAGGCTGCCACACACTGTGACCCGTGCATCCCAGAGCTTCCTTCAAGGATCGCGATACCCACCTCCCAGGGCAGCCGTGAATATGGCATCAAATCATGTAAGCAGAGCACCTGAACAGCCGCAGGGCCCAAGAACAGCAGGCGTTGTCCCGTGTAAACTGTAGAGGGCTGTGGGAGCTCTGGTCTGCAGCTGTGGCCAGCCTAGGACCTCTCTGAGACTCAGTTTCCCCACCTGTAGACAAAAGGTTTAGGAGAAATGAGCTCTCGGTCCTACCCAGGTCTCTGCTTTTCTGTGCACTGGAGCCTCCTGGCAGGGTTGGGTGTCTGGCATGCCGAGGTCCCCCAAGGAACCTACTCTGGGTCACGGTGCCCCCAGGACGTCCTGGGCCCGTGGGCCACTCCCTCTGCCCCTCAGGCCTGCACCCTCCCTAGAGGAGAGACAAACCAGGAGCCCTGGCCAGGGCTGGGGGAGGCCCAGACCAGCCCTGTGGTCCCCCACCCCTGGCATTCTGGGTTATCCCAAGAAAGGCCTGAAATTCTCCACATCTTCAAAGCAAAATGCATTTCCGGTTTTTCGAGGCAGAAGTGCAGATCCCATTGCCCTTTGTCAAAGGGCCTTTTAGAAAGGGAAGACCCAGGCTCCTGCGGCCCGTTCTCCTGCTGACCTTCAGCCGTACGCTCACGGCCACTGCCGCTCAGGGCCACCAGCTCCCCTTCTGTACCCCAGCCTGAGCCACCTCCTCCAGCGTACCCGTCTGATGGGCCACATCCCGTCTCACCTCTCAGCAGTGCCCAGTCCTTCAGGGACGCCAAGACCCTCAGGGACCAGACACAGTCCCTCCCCCACCCCCCAGCTCCCTCTCCCTCCTCTGAGCCAGAGGTTCCTAACCTGGGTGTCTGAAAACTAGGATGAAAAAGAAAATCTTTATTTTCACCATCCCCTCCCCTGAAGCCCAGCACATCGTTCCACGGTGAAGCAGGCCCAAGCCACAGGGCCCCTGTGACCCTGCCACCGAGAGGAACACAGGTATACCCCCCCATGCTGCGGCGGCTGCAGGCACCTCTAGACCCCCATGTGCTCTGAAATCTGGCCGGGTGTCCCACTGCTGGCCAGATCTTATTTAAAGGGTTCACAGAGAAGCCATGTACATACTGTGGATTTATATGTTTAACTAACTGGATTAATAGGAGCATTGCTTCCCCTAGTAAAGCTGTGCAGCTTGTTTTATGCATTTAAAAGACATCATTCCGAGCAGGGCTCTCCAGACTTCACCAGGCGGCTGAAGGGCCTGCCAGAGAGGGTACAGACCCCCAACTCCAGGGTCTGTACCCGAGGGCTTTCTCTGCCGAATGGGTCGCCACTCTGACTTGTCTTTGCTTCTGAACCCTTGGCCCAGGTGGGGCAGAGCTCCTGGCTTGACCCCGCCAGCCCCCAGGCCCATGACCGCATCCAGACCCTGCACCCTCTTATTTATTTATTTGGCTGCGCCAGGTCTTAGTTACGGCATGCAGGACCTTTAGTTACGGCATGCAGGATCTTTAGTTGTGGCATACGGGATCTGGTTCCCTGACCAGGGATCGAACCTGGGCCCCCTGCGTTGGGAACGCGGAGTCTTAACCACTGGACCACCAGGGAAGCCCCAGACCCTACACCCTCTTGAAGCTCACCTCCAAAGGAGGGTTCTGCCCTCTCCTCGGATCCCCACAGCCCTTGTCACGCTGATGACATCACGATCACCAGGCTCTGGGCTCTCGGGGCAGGGCCTGGGTCTGAAGTGGCTTTTCAGAGACCGTGTGCGGAATAATCAGTAGGATGGAGCAGCCTCCCGGTCCCGTGGGCCGACTGCGTGCCACGCGCAAAGTGCTTGCGGACATTCCTCCACCATCCACTGCGTGGGACTCTCCCTACATCCTGTGAGGCAGCAAGTGCTATTCCTCCCCCTTTCGTGGAGAGGAAACTGAGGCACGGAGCTGTAAGATAACTGCCAGGGCCACAGAGCACCGAGGGTGGGGCGGCCCCCAGACAGGCCCTGTCCAGAGCCTGGGGAGCACATCCTCCAAGCTCTAAAGCCTGAGGACAGGGGGTGGGGGCGGCACTTCCTGAAGGTTTGTCCCCAGGGGAGGTGGGGAGCCGGGAGGGGTGACATCCATCCCTCCCACCAACGTGGATTGGTTGGGGCCTGTCCTGAGGGCTTCCTGGCTGAGGAGGCCCGGGGGGCGGGGGAGAGGGAGGGGAGGCAGGCGGGGGAGAGGTGCCGGGAC